CCCTCCTTCCTTACTCTTTCTTTTCTTTCTTTCTTTCTTTCTTTCTTTCTTTCTTTCTTTCTTTCTTTCTTCCTTCCTTCCTTCCTTCCTTCCTTCCTTCCTTTCTTTCTTTCTTTCTTTCTTTCTTTCTTTCTTTCTCTTTCTTTCTCTTCCTTCCTTCCTTCCTTCCTTCCTTCCTTCCTTCCTTCCTTCCTTCCTTTCGTTCTTATGTTCTTTCATTCTTTTGTTCTTTCTTCTTCCTCTGTTTTTTAAAATCTTGTGAAGCAGTTTCTGCCAGCTGTGTCCTCAACAGCCTTGATAATGGAGCCCATTTTGTTCAAGTCTGGGGCAGTGTCAGGCCCCAGGGAATGGGTCTAACCAATCTAAACCTACCAGATCCCCACTCCCTTTGCTGGCAAGTGTGTCAGGAACGGGCTGGCCAATGGGTTGTGTCCACATCTACTGGAAGGTGTCTGGAAGAGGTTTTTTCCCAGGCCTCACAAACATTCACAAGAAAAGCCAGCTTCTTCCGTCCCTCCTTCTCTGTTCTGTGTCAAGAAGGTGGCTCTTGGAGCTACCGCAGGCATCTCGGGCTGACGTCCCGCAGAGGGCAGGTTGCAAGTGGGAAAGCGTTTGCGTCCACGAGGGCGTGGAGCTGCAGAGCCACATGCGGAGGAGCCTTCACGCAGCTGACGGAGGCAGGTAGGCGGTGTCCTCCGTCCAGATCCAAGGCACGAGTTGTCTGTGCCTCGCGCAGGAAGCTCCAGCCGACCCACTGGGCAAGGGACCAGTCCTCCCAGCACTGGGAGGAAACCTCCTTCTGAGGCTGGATGCTGCCCTTAGCCGAGAGCCTTCCGATGTCACCAGAGCTCAGGGAGAGCAGCTGTGATTGGTTCGTGCCCAGGAGCCAAGATTACCAGCGGGCTCAGAACCAAGAAGGCCGTGGGTCTCATCCACGAAGAGCATCCCTGGCAAGCGGCCACGGTGGTTTCTGTACCTGACCTGGAGGGGCTTGAGGGCCTCAAAATTATTTCTAGTTAGAAAAAAAAGCAAGTTTATTCCGTGGGCCAGGAGATACCGGGATGACTAAGCTTGGGCTGACATCTCGTGGTTGGTTGTGAAATAGGCGCTTCGGGAAGAAATTCTGGCAGCCAGGGGGAGTGAGTGGGAAGAGAGGGGCCCCGAGAAGAACGAATAAAAAAACCCCAATTAACTAAAAAAACAAACAAAAACCCCCAAGAAAAACCAATTAACGTTTTCTAATTGTATGATGATATTCTGCAACTGCATTTTAAAATATGTATTTAAAAACATAATATTGGGCAGCCCGGTGGCCCAGCCTTCAGCCCGGAGTGTGATCCTGGAGACCAGGGATGCAGTCCCACGTCGGAGCCTGCTTCTCCCTCTGGCTCTCTCTCTCTCTCTTTCTGTCTTGGATAAATTAAATCTTTAAAAAAAAACCATAATATTAAGAATAATATATATTTGCTAATCTGAATGGCACATGTAGAAGTTATCCAAAAAAATGGTTAATTCTGCATCCAATCAATTTCTTCCCTTTACTGTTTAGTGGTCCTTAATCTGAGCAGCTTGCTGGTAGGTATTTCTGAGAACCCTGAGGAGTTTTCCACAAACCCACGTGTGCCCCTGGTCATTTCATGTTCCAGGCTCAGGTTCAGTCCTTCCATCTCCTCCTGCAGGTCTCTGACATGTTTTCCACATTGTAGTTATTCCCTCTTGTCTGTTTTGCCGAAGAATGTAGACAAAGAGGATCCCTCCAATCAAAATTAACAAAAGGGCTGTGTATTAAACAGACTTTCCTAACACTTGAGGACAACACAAGGAAACTGCAGTACATACAAGGGAAACTTAAAAATAATACTCCAGCCTTTATTTTCCTAGAAATCATCAGCTACATTTTCCTTGTGATTTCTCTACTGGCCGTAGCTCCTAGTATGATGCCATGGTACCAGGGTCTGTGCTTTGCTCCCAAAGGGGTCCAAGTTTTTAATGTCTTCCAGAGTGAGAGACCCCAGGTCTTGCCTCTGGTTCCTGTCTGAGGAAGCAAAGCATCAGTTCACATCCTATTAAGTTCTGCAGTGATGCACGCAGATCATGAAGTGCCAGATGCCCTCACTGAGGGCAGAGAAGGAGGAAAGGGGTGATTGAATCAATTACCCTATCTCCTACGTCAGGCCTGGTAACTAGGAGGTGGCATGGGGGTGGTTCAAGGGTACTGGTAATGTACTTAATCCGCGTGCTGACTCTATGTTCATATTTATCTTGTGAAAATCCATTCAGTAGTACTTAATATATTTGCACATTTCATTATACATGTTATTCTTCACCAAAAAAGTTTGTTTGAAAAATCTGAACCTCCTTGCATGCACATTCACAAGGACACACACATACAATATAGCAGGTGGCACTTGTGAGAAGCAAAAAAACAATTTTAGAGAAATCAAGATACCACCTTTCTTCATACATTTGAGCACAGTGTGATTAAATGTGCAAATCTATTTTATATGCTTTTGCTTAAGAAAATGGGTCAAAAATCTACAAACTTGGTAGACTTCCCAAATACCATGACAGTGGCACCATGAGGAAACACTCAGGCTAGTTCATGTTTAATACTCTCTTGAGTGAGAAGTTACCTAGGACCAACTCCAGGTGACAGAAATTAAAGAAGAGATTTAATCGTTGTTATAACTGCATCTTATCATTATAGCTATGTTAGTAGTATTGTTATGTTGACATATTATTGGAAATATCATATATTTTCTGATATTCTTTGTGGTCTTAAAGAACTTTAATTAAAATCTTCTCCAAATTGTCAGCAGCCTCATAATACAGCCAGGTATAGTGGAAAAGAGAAAAGAGAAAAGAGGAGACAGTGGGTCAAAGTCAATACCTTTCAGCAGGTGTAACATGTCAGAGGAACCATATAATATCTCAAGCCGCTTTCTCACCAGTGAGAAAGTCCTCACATCTGACCACCCCACAGCTTGGCAGTGAGAATAAAGGAAATGCTCCCTAAACTTCATTCACAGGATATCTCTTGATGCTTGCAGATCTGTCTGGAGAAATGTTCTGTAACTCTTATGGTAGCTTCATATTTCCAGCACTTTGATCCTTGCTAGATGGTCTCAAGGAAGCAGTGTTGGCCAAATCCAATTGCTGCACCCCCAACAACAGCATTATTTATAATAGCAAAGACATGGAAAGAACCTACATGTTCCTTGATGAAGGAATGGATAAAGAAGTTGTATAAAAATACAGTGGGATGTTACTCAGCCATAAAACACAAGGAGATCCTATCATTTGTGACGACAGAGAAAGACAAATATCGTGGAATCTAAAGAAAATCATAGAAAAAGAGATCAGATTTGTGGTTAACAGAGACAGCAGAGGATGTAGGGAGGGGAACTGGAGAAAGGTGGTCAAAAAGTATAAAGTCCAGTTATAAGATAAATAAGTATGTGACCTATATATAACCATAGCTAATACTGATGTATGATATATAGGAACTATATATAGTTAAGAAAATAAATCCTGAGAGTTTTTATCACAAGGAGAATTTTTTTTAATTTTTTTTAATTTATTCATGAGAGATACAGCGAGAGAGGCAGAGACAGAGGCAGAGGGAGAAGCAGGCTCCACGCAGGGAGCCCGATGTGGGACTCGATCCTGGGACCCCAGGATCATGCCCTGAGTCAAAGGCAGATGCTCTATTGCTAAGCCATCCAGGTGTCCCACAAGGAGAAAATCTGACTTTGCTCCCCACTTTAAAAGAAGTATAAGCTGACTCATCCAGAAACCTGTCATAGGATGAACATACTTACTCTTGGGGAACACAATACCTTGCAAGATCTTTTTTCTTTTCATTGTACCTATATGAGAGGATGGATGTTAGCTGAATTTATTGTAGTCATCATGTCACAGTAAATGTAAATCACACCATCATGTTGTATGCCTCAAACTTTTACAGTGATATATGTCAATTATTTCTCAATAAAACTGGAAAAACAAAAGAATTCAATTGGCCTTTGATTAACGGTGCTTTTTTTTAAAAAAAAGATTTTATTTATTATTTATTCATGAGAGACACACACAGAGAGAGAGAGAGGCAGAGACATAGGCGGAGGAAGAAGCGGGCTCCTTTCAGGAAGCCTGATGTGGCACTTGACCCTAGAACTCCGGGATCACGCCCTGAACCAAAGGCAGACGCTCAACCACTGAGCCACCCAGGCATCCCTTGATTAATGGTGATTAATAATCTGCCACACGAAGTGATTGATATATATAATTGATATCTATCTATCTCTATATCTATCTATGTATATATATATATATATATATATATATATAGAGAGAGAGAGAGAGAGAGAGAGAGAGAGAAACAGAGAGAGAGAGAGAGAATTATTGCTTCTTGAAGCATCACTCAATAAATATCCCAGCTCCCTCACCCTTGGGGAGAGATAAACACTGAGGTTGTATTCTACTTTGACTCCCTGAGCTCTCCAATAGAATGGAGTTCCAGTTACTTCAGGGGTGGCTGGCCTGAAGTCATACCCATTAAAGGGTGGCTTCACTTCTCTGCCTCATTTCCCCATTGTCCTATTCCTGTTTCCTTTGCCTCTCAGGTACACTAATTGCCTTAAATTCCTGTCTTTTTCTTTTTCGAAAAAAAAAATTCTTTACTATAAGGATAATACACAGTAAAACAGAGCTGGAAGGTGGTTTGATCTGGAAAAACTTCTTTGTATTACCAAATACACTGCCCAAACATGGCTTCCTGCTGTGAATGAGACTGATTTGGCCCTTATCTTTCCTCCTCTTTTGATTCAAAGAAATCTGTTCTTTGCAGGACTGGGCCCAAAGATCCCTATTTTCCAATCTATTCTCTTCCTGGGGCTTGGGAAATGTTGTATAGTTCTCAGGCTTTCAGGATACAGAAGACAGTGTGGAGAAGGAAAGGACATTACAGTCCTTTGGTCCAGTGTCATCCCCAGCTCCATCCCTCAGTATTTGTTGATGCCAAAGATATGATCCCTTTGGAATTGGGGCAACTTAGGTGGTAGTATGCTGAGCCATGAGGCTGTGTTGGTGAGGAAGTGAGCAGCATCATACTTGCTATAGAAGCTTGCCAGGAGGTAGAGGACATTTGGAGAGATGCTGAGGGATTTGTGGGAAAAGATAAATTGGAGCCCATAGTCCATCTGTTCCCAATGTGTCAGTGGTAAGCCTTTCCTCTGTCAGGAACTCAAAGTGTGTCCTTTTCACTGTGTGTAAGAAAATACATGTAGCCAAGTTATGGATGATGTTGGTCAGGGTCCAGACAACAGGAATGCTGAAGAAGGGGATGCTGAGTAGAACCACATGCAGGAGTCCTACCAAGATGGTATAGGCCAGCCAGATGCCCTGGCTATTCATCACTTGAGTGCTGGGGTTTCCTTCACTGTGTGCCACTCCCACATTCACCCTACCACAGTGGGGGATCAGGCAGGCGTCCAACTCAATTTCCTTTCAATCTCCTTCTGAGTTTGTTCCCCCCAGTTGTCTCCTAAAGAGCCAAAGTGAAAGAATGAAAGAACTTCCTCAATGTGCACAAAGAAAAAGTTGAAAACCTGGGGGAAAAAACTTAAAAGGCAAGACTGGTCCTCTCTGCTCTTAGAGACCTGAACGGTATTCTTTACTCTGGTCCCTACACTTCAACTATAAATTGAAGGAGGAAGCCTAGGCTTGGGGCAGGGGCTTCAAGCAGCAAAGGAAATAAGTATCTCACTTTATTTTCCTGAAGAAGTTAATAGGGAATCATGAAGAGGTTACATTCACCATCATTTCAGAAGAGGTTCAGGGGAAAAAATCAAGGAAACACTAAGAAGGGGTAAGAGGTAAAAGTACTTCTAATGCCCACCTTTTCCTCTGGGCTTGCCTGTCCTGTCTCTCATCATCTTGGTGTGTAAGCAGGCAGCGTCCCAGTTCCTTTTCTCAGGAGTTGGGTGTGGCCAGGTATTGGCCCGTGGCTTCTGGATCGAGCAAGGAAGAGACTTGAGCTTACCCTATCCCTAGGGGTGGCCCTGATTGTCTGACCTTAGCCCTTTAAAATTGTGCTAGCTCCTGGGTATTATGCTAAATGTTGGCAAATTGAACTCCAATTAAAAAATAAATAAAATTGTGCTAGCTCTAAGGTTAATGATGCCTAGGTGGGAAGCAGACCTTCCCTGCCCCTTTCACCTAAAATTCCCTAAACCCTGGTACTGAGCCTGCCCGTGCTCCTCCCAGCTTCTCTCTCTCATTCATCATTTGTGGGCTGTCCTCAGGCTCTCCTCAGTGCTCCTCTCTAGGTATTTAACTTCCTGGGGTGGGGGGACTCTACTTCACCCCCCTATCTTTCACCTCTTCTCATTTTTCCTCAGCACCCCTCCCCTTTCCAGTCTCTTGGCAGCCCCTGCCTGCTAGCTTCAGAAGCGGTCTCAAATCCCTGTTATCATCTGCCTCAGGCAGATCCCAAACTAAGACTATGACAACAATATTGCCTCTAATTTTTGATTCTTGAAGTTGAATTATAGTCTCATTTGTACGTTCCCACCCCCCGCCCCGCCCCTTCTGTTGTCAATGCCACAAGCCATGGATCAAAGGTTATAAGATTGAATTGGGAATGGAGTATTGGTTTGTTTTGGTGAATACATTCATGTATTCGAAAGCATATTCTCCAAAATCAATGGTTATTGTTTAGTATCAGCTAGGTTGCTCCTTATCTCCAAAATATGATTCTTTGGAGTCCCAAAGAAATAACTTCAGAATGTGTTCAAGATAACAAAATATAAGTTTCCTTAAAGAAAACAGATTTCTAAATGTGCAGATTTATCAGAGAGCCATGAACTATTTTAATAGATGAGATTTATTCTACTGTGCAATTCCTCTGTCCCTCCATTAATCACCCCCCACTTTTCCTCTTCCTTTTATCTCTCCACATTCCTTCCCTGATCTTTTGTCTTCCCAGGGACCCTAACTACCCATCTCACTTAAAAGAAGTATCAGATAGCTCCTCTAGAAACCTGTCATAGTACAAACATATCCTTGAATGGCAGCGTGCCTTGCAAGGTCTTTGTTTTGGTATTAAGTTAACTTAATAGACATTGACTTCTTTTTTTCCTAATTTTATTTAAATTCAATTAATTAACATATAATGTATTATTGGTTTCAGAGGTAGAGGTCAGTGATTCATCAGTCTTATATAATACCCAGTGCTCATTACATCACATGCCCTCCTTAATGTCCATTACCCAGTTACCCCACCCCCACCACCACCCCTCCAACTTCTGAGTATTTCTTTAGCAGAAGCCTTGCTAATTAGAATTCTCTTTAGTGGGATGGGTTTTCTGGCAATTGTATGTCATATATAGTCGAAATCTTAGATACCTTAGAACAGCTCAGGAACAGTTTTCTTAATGGAAAATAGACACACTGTGGCTAAATTAAAACACAAAGGGTAGTATTTTTTTTTTTAAAGGAATCTTTTTTTTTTTTTTTTTTTTAGTATCATACCAGACTCCATCTACCTTCAAGTAATTTCATGGAAGACTGGCTTATAATCACTAAATCATTTTGAAACCAAACCCTCATAACCAAGATTCCACCATGAAATATGTTTTCTTAGCTCCAAGCAAGAAGAAGAGAAGGAGGGGATTTGGTCGGTAATAGTGACATTAAGCCCAGGCTTCTCTTTCTAACTGGAATGCCCGGAAGAGATATTTATTTCTCTCGTGTTTTCTACTAAATAATCCAGGTTGATGTTTGAAGAACTCAGGGACCTTTCAACAGGGGTGGAACTAAGAAACAAAAGAAGGAAGCTTCTATTGTTACTCTTGATATTTTCTCTGGAACTGCAGGACCAGAAGGGGTACTTCGTGGCCTCAGAAAGCCTCTTCTGTAAAATTCAGTAGGGAATCAGAATTTTCAGAGTTCTGAAATGCTCCCTTTGAGGAGGGGGGGCTGTCATTTTGTGAAGGTGATAGTACCTCTAAATTTTTTGTAGGGAAAGGAGTTTGCCGCCAGAACATAAGCTGTGCGGCTGAAATGTAGTTTTTGCTGCTGTGAGCATATCCTAACTTCTTATGGCTTGAACTTCTATTTCTTTGGAAAACATATCTTACACTTTTACTCAGTCAAGTATGTTTGAATAACCCCCTCTCAAAAATTACTAGAGTTTCTGAAATATGCTGAATACAGAGGGGCCCTTTGATGAAGCGGGAATCAGCAACCTATGTGGTAAGAAGCCCACTTCCCACACTTGGGAAATTTTCCATTTGGTGGGATTTAAAGTCTGGGTGCGTTTCAAGTGTTAATATAAATGTGTTCATGGAAAATGGCATTTCCCACAACCTCCATGAGTCGGAAAGTTTTATTTTTATCTGTTTTGACCACAAATTTAAAGATCCTTAATCTCCTTAGGTTCATAATTTGAGTCTATCTCTCCATCAATCAAATATACATAAACATTCTTTCCTTCTTCAAGAAATATAAAAAAAATTAACCATTTCTGAGAAGTGGACATTTCTGTTTTTTTATTATTATTTTTTAAAGATTTTATTTATTTATTCATGAGAGACATAGAGAGAGAGAGAGGCAGAGACACGGGCAGAGGGAGAAGCAGGCTCCACGCAAGGAGCCTGATGTGTTACTGGTTCCCGGGACTCCAGGATCACACCCTGAGCCGAAGGCAAGCTAAACCGCTGAGCCACCCAGGGATCCTTTTTTCTGTTTTTTTTAAACAACAATACTGATTTTTTTCTATGCTATTTGAATGATTCACAACTAAGAAAGAGAATGTAGGGGTGTTCAGGATGCATAACTCACTGGCAAGTTATATATGTTCAAGCTGGGAGAGAATTACAGTTATGGAACAGACTTTCTAACTCTTGAATTTTAGTTGAGACATTTCCTTTTGTGTTCAAAAGCCCTGTGAGTGCTGGGAAAACAAAACTGTCACTAGTGTATGGCTCCACCCTTCCCACAGCTGTATGCCAGCAATCAATAATGTTTGACTCTCCGTGGGGCATTTTACATGTTTGTCAAACTCCCAGCCTCTGTGATATCTTTACTCATCCACACTCTTAAGACAAAATTTATTTTGATATCTCTCTTTATCATTTGAGTTATTGGCACAAATAAGAACACATAAATATATATTTTTATCTCCCTAATGATTTTTGAAAGTGCTGCAAGAATATAAACCAATAAAAACTTATATACTTCTCTAATGGACATGGAAATTTTTGTAGTACTTTGAAGGATAATTTCTGTATCTGGTAAAATTGAAAATGTACATATCGTATGACCCATCAACTGTCCACTTATGTTTTCTGTATGCATAAAATGAGGATAATAATGATCTATCTCATTGGGTTGAGGTGAGGATAATATGATTTAATATATCTGACATACTTAGAAGTTACATTAGTAAAAGTATGTTACAAGTTTTATTTCTAGTAGTGATAGTATCAATGTTGTCATTATTAGATATCACCCTAAAGAAATTCTTGCTCATGTCCATAAGGAAACACATATATGAGTGTTCACAAAATATTGTTTGTAATAGCAAAAAAAAAAAAAAAGCTGGAAAGAAGCTAAATAATAAAAAATGAAATTGACAAAAAATTGCTGTATTCATGCAATGGAATATTATATGGCATATACCTGTATCACTATGGATGAAACTCAAAGATATAATACAGATTGAAGTAAAATGATTTGAAAAAAAACTAAATTATGGTACCAGTTACATGTAGCATATAGACAATATTGGATATTTTTAGGGATGAATGTATATATAGAAAAATATAAAGAAACACATGAAAATAATAATACCCAAAGTCTAGAGGGTTGTTACATCTAATAGGGAGAAAGAGTTCTGTGATCAGGGATCAGGGATGAGACCACTAGGAACTTAATTGGATTGAAAGGCTTTATTTGTCAATTTGGATAGTGTGTAAATGCATGCTTGCAATATTATTCTTTACATCTCTCAGCAAATATCAAATATTGCACAACCAAATGCAAAAGCCCCAAATAGAAAAAATAAAGGATAAATTGCATATTAATGAATCAGGTATTTATATATTTATGAGAAAAAAATGGTTGTTTGTTCACTTGGTAAGGTGGCCCTGTGACTTGAATATATAAGTTTTATAAAATGAGGTCTTGATTCAGTTTGAACCCTTGCCCAGGTCCTGGAGACAAGTGAAATTCAAATGCACTGAGAATTCATGTAACAAGTATTATTAATAGACACTCTTGGGTTGATAATGGCAAGACAGTTTACCTGATGCTAATTACATCACCTAAGTGCAAATAAAACTTCAGTGAAGCTAATTGTTTGGATTTTTTTATGTGTTGCCCCTTCACTCCCCCCCCCCAACCTATGGCCATTGTGTAGCATATTTCATTAGCATAATTCATTGTCCAGAGGTGTCTGGG